ACGGAGAAGTGCCGGGTCTAAGATCCAGGAGCGGGGGACCCACTGCCGATCCTCCGGGCTGTAGCCCTCCCATTCGACCAAATACTGGAACCCCTTACCCCTGCGCCGAGAGTCCAAGATTTCCCGCACTGTGTACACCGGGTCGCCGTCGACAATCCGTGGAGGAGGAGGCGATGTGGGAGGAGGAGCCAGGGAACTGGTGGCCACTGGCTTCAACAGGGAAACGTGGAAGACTGGGTGAACCTTCATGGTGGGCGGCAGTCGGAGCCGGAGCTTGACGGAGACGGGGCTGATGACCGATTCCACCACGAACGATCCCGTGAAGCAAGGCCCCAACTTGCGAGAAGTACCAGCCAGTCGCAGATCCTTTGTCAACAGCCACACCTTCTGCTCCACCTGATAGCTAGGTGCTGGGCATCGGCGGCGGTCAGCAATCTGCTGGTTCCTCACAGCAGTGCGTGACAGCGCAGCTCTGGTCTCCCTCCACAGTGGGTCCGTCGCAGGTGGAGCTGTATGGACGTGAGTTCCACCTGACCCTCCTGGGAAGGAAATAGAGGAGGTTGATAACCATAGGCAGACATGAAAGGAGACCGACCGGTGGCAGACGAGACGAGGGTGTTATGGGCGTATTGCACCCAAGGCAGGTGAGTCGACCACGAGGAGGGGCGATGGAGACAAACGCAACGCAGAGCTGCCTCCAAGTCCTGATTCAGGCGTTCCGTTTGGCCGTTGGACTGCGGGTGGTAACCAGAGGACAGACTAGTCGTGGCCCCCATGGCATGACAGAAACGTTTCCACACTCTGGAAACGAATTGAGGACCCCGGTCAGACATGATGTCCACCGGAATCCCATGAAGACGGAAGACATGGTCGGCGGTCTCCAGGGCAGATGGCAACTTGGATAAGGCAACAAACGTAGAAAGGGTTCCGTCAGTCGTCATCTGTACCTGTGGGTAAAAAACAAAAAAGGACGTTTCGCTTCTCTCACAGAAGCTTCGTCAGCGGTAGACAACTCTGAAGTCTCCGTGAAGACTCCGGGAAATTGCTCTGCGCTAAAAAGCTGAGCGTGGCCTATTTGAGGACTGGGTGGGGATGGTTAGTCACGCCCCTATGGTGACCATTGATTTCTAAATTCCCTATCGTTGGGTCTTGATTAGGCCTATTGTTTGGGCTTGGGCTGAATAGCTACTTTTAGTTAGGCGGGCTGCCTGATCAGCCTGTCTATGTCCCTTGGTGGTCAACAAGTTATTGTAAATAGGAGACAGGTTAAATCTGATACCTCCTTCGCGGTTCAGAGAGGGTGAAATTTTTTTCACAAAAATCGCTTCCTTTAGTCCCCTTTCAAACCATCTCTTTTCTGTTCCTAGGATTTTTACTTGTTCATCTTCAATTGTGTGGTTTGTTTCTTTTAAGTGTGCGTATACTGCACTTTTGTTATCATTGTTTTTCATAGTTGATAAAGTCTTTTCTTGAGTGTTTGTTTGGTTTCTCCGATGTAATGTTCCTTGCACTCACTTTCTTGGCAACGGATGGAATAAATCAGATTGCATTTTTGGGTGTTGGGAACCCGGTCTTTGGGGTGTACTAGTTTTTGTCTCAATGTGTTTATCGGTTTAAAATAAACTGAGAGCCTCCACAAGCATAAGGCAACAAAATGAACAGATTTAGAGAAGCGATCAACAATGGTGAGTATGACGGACTTGCCCCGGGAAGGAGGCAGGCCTGAGACAAACTCCATGGAGATGTGGGACCATGGTCGAGGCGGAACAGGTAAAGGCTGCAGCAACCCAGCCAGTGGTTGGTGGGATGCCTTACTGCATGCGCAGGTGGAGCAGGCCTTGATGTAGTCCAGCGTATCCTTCCGAAGCTCTGGCCACCAAAACCCCTGCGAGACGAGCTGTAAGGTCCGGTTCACCCCAGGATGGCAAGCCACCTTAGACGTGTGCCCCCACTGCAACACCTCCAAGGTGGGGTTACAAAAAGCTTCCCTACAGGACAGCCAGCCGGGACTTGGGTTCCATTCTGGGCCTCCTGGACCCTTCGTTCGATTGCCCACCTCAGGGCCCCCAAAATACAATGGTCGGGAAGAATACTCTGTGGTTCGCTGCTCCTCTCCGCGGAGTCGTGGATACGGGAGAGAGCATCAGGTCGTATGTTCTTGGAGCCAGGAAAATAGGTAAGTGTGATGTTGAAACGTGTAAGGAGAAGCGCCCACCGGGCTTGACGTGAGTTTAGTCTCTTGGCAGAGCGAATGTATGCTAGGTTCTTGTGGTCAGTGTACACAGTGAATGGCTCTTCAGTCTCCTCGAGCCAATGTCGCCATTCCTGCAGAGCCAAAACGACTGCTAGAAGTTCACGGTTTCCCACGTCGTAGTTGGCTTCGGCTGGACTGAGACGACGAGAGAAGAAGGCGCAAGGGTGGAGTCTTTGGTCAACTGGGGATCGCTGCGACAATACCGCCCCCACCCCTGAATCTGAAGCGTCCACCTCTACAATGAAATGATAAGATGGGTTAGGATGTTGTAAAACTGGAGGGTTAGTGAAGGCCTTCTTCAATTCCAAAAACGCATTGTCGGCGTTAGTGTCCCACCTAAAGGGAACCTTGACAGATGTCAACTGGGTCAGAGGTAGGGCTCTCTGGCTCTAATTACGGATGAATCAGCGATAGAAATTAGTGAAACCCAAGAAACGTTGCAGCTGTTTCCTCGTGGTTGGTGTGGGCCACTCTACCACCGCCTTAACTTTGGCGGAGTAAGCTCTCAGCTGACCCTTCTCAATAACGAAAACAAGGAACGAAGTGGACTCGACGTGAAACTCGCATTTCTCTGCTTTGAGGAATAACCGATTCCCTAACAGACGCTGCAGAACGAGCCTGACATGGTGTTGATGGTCTTGAAGTGTACGGGAAAAAAAAAATCAATGTCGTCCAAATAGACAAAACAAAATACATTCAGATGGTCTCTCAACACGTCATTAATGAGACTCTGGAACACAGCGGGCGCGTTGGTTAACCCAAATGGCATGACCAAATAGTCAAAATGCCCTAAAGGTGTCTTGAATGCCGTCTTCCATTCATCCCCCTCACGAATACAGACCAGATGGTAAGCACTTCGTAGATCTAGTTTGGAAAATATGGTGGCAGATTGGAGGGGGGCGAACGCCGAATCTAACAACGGGAGTGGATATTTTTTTTGATGGTGATCTCGTTTAGTCCCCGATAGTCGACACAAGGGCGTAATGACTTGTCTTTCTTCTCGATAAAGAAGAACCCGGCCCCCAATGGGGATTTAGATGGCCTAATGAGGCCAGCCAAGAGTGAGCTGTCAATGTATTCCCTCAAAGCCTCTTGTTCCGGCTGTGAAACCTGATATAGTCGTGAACTCGGAAGAGGGGCGTTATCAATTAAGTCGATTGCGCAATCGTACGGCCGGTGCGGCGGCAAGGACTGAGCGCGGTCTTTGCTAAACACGTGACGCAAATCATGGTAAATACTCGGAACATTATCCAAACAAATGACTTCCGGTGGATCATTCCGTGTCGGACCTCTATTTTCTGCCGCCGACTGCAAACAGTGGGCATCGCAGAACGGACTCCAATTTTCAATCGCGGGATGTTCCCAAGAAGTGACAGGATTATGGGTTCTCAGCCACGACAACCCCAAAATTAACGATACGGATCAAGACCGCATGATATAAAACCTCCGGTATTCCATGTGATTGCCTGACAACCCTAGTTTTAATGGCCCGGTGATCTGTTTCACCTCCGCCAAGAGCCGCCCGTCCAGATCGTGAACCCGCTTTTATCTTTTAACTCATCCACCGGACAACCCAGTTCATTAGCCATCATGGGGTCTAAAAAACAATTGTCCGCCCCTGAGTCCACCAATGCCCGAATCGGAATAGCCCGTGAGGGACCATAGATAGTTCCGTCCAGCTCCAGTCTTTTAGGATGTCCCGTACTGGACTCCTCCCTTCTCGGCTCCCGTGAGCCAGTGCTGGGTGTAAACTCACATTTCTCGGAGCGCCTAACCAGGCGGGCCGGGGTCATGGAACAGTTGGCAACTCGATGTCCTGGTTGACCACAGTAGAAGCAGGCCTGGTCCCGAATCCGGCGCTGTCTCTCCTCTGGCCCCAAACGTCCGCCTCCCAGCTGCATGGGCTCCCCCTCTGCGTCGGCAGTCCCAGTACCGGGGTGATGCTCTGGACCGGACGGTTGCCAGGACTCGTGGGAAGCCGGCCGACCACCCGCACGTCGGGGCTGAAAACGGGCATTTCCCCGTTCGTCCCCGCGTTCCCGCTCGCGCTCCTGCTCGCGCTCCCGCATGCGGTTGTCCAGAACAAGGGCCAGATTAATGAGTTCCTCCAAATTGGTGCTGTCATCGCGGGTTGCCAGTTCGTCCTTCAATGATACATTCAATCCACGGCGAAACAAGCCACACAGGGCGTGGTCACCGTAACCACTACGGGCGGCCAGAATCCGAAAAGAAATGGAATATTCGGCTACGGATTGTTTCCCCTGCCGAATAGCTAATAGCCGTCCTTCAGCCTCCCTTCCCATGACAGGATGGTGAAATACGCGACGAAACTCAGCGACAAACTCAGGGAAGGAAGACCGAAGCCCGGGTTGAGCATTGCTTATTTCCACTGCCCAGGCCGCCGCCTGACCAGTCAAAAGGCTCATTACGAATGCCACCTTGGTACTATCCTTCTCGTAAGCAGAAGGTTGCTGGTCGAATATTAGGGAGCATTGGTGCAAAAATTGTTTACAGAGGCCCGGTTTGCCACCATAGCGATGGGGGTGTGGGAAATTAGGCTCCCGCCCCACGATTGGGGGAGATGGTATCTCGGTGGCTACCGTAGGTGATCTTGAGGATGGCGTTCCTCGGTTGCTCGCTTGTTCCATCCAGGATCTCAAATTATCAAGCCGATGAGCCAGCATGGAGACTGCCTCCCGGAGCTCCGCGTGCGCTTGTCCTTGCTGGTCCACCAGTTGTCCCTGGCTGCTCAAGGCGGTCTTTATCTTGTTAACGTCTACAGGATCCATAGTGGTCAGAGTATTCTGTCAGGTTTCGGACAAGCCGAATCAAGTTTGGATCCCAATAGGTGTAGACGTCAACAAGGTCTCAGTAGCAAAAATGTTTTAATACAAAAAAATCGCACCGACAAAGAAGTAACAAAAAGCGCTGGTCCAAACGGACCAGGGAGTACAACAATAACAACAAAAAGCGCTTGCCCAAAAGGCAAGGGGTGAAAACAAGAACCGAGAAGGCAAACGAAAAATCAATGTAACAAAGTACACGCAAGTAAAAGCCGAATCACAAAATAAAAACCATACAAGATCAATAGTACCGAGAGTATCAAAAGCGAAAAACGACGAGGTCTATAGCAAAAGGGTCTATGAGCATGGAAACAGCAAGGCATAAACAATACTCCGACAACAGGTGAACCGCAGAAGAGTCCTTAAATACAGAGTCCCATAATGAATGGATTGGCAGCAGGTGTGCACCCAGAAGTCCGCTCATGCCACCTGCTGGCCAGACCAAAAACAGAACTGTGACAGCATCACTACTAACCGCTAATTTCAGTGAGAAAGCGATCTTAGAGTTAGTTGTGTTAGCGATAACGTTTTTGTTTAGCGATAACATTTTTTGATTAATTAAGCTGTGCTCCAACCCCTTGCCGCCCTCTGAAGCAATACGTCCCAGCTGTGTGGGAACGTGTTAGCCCGCTCGTCAGAGATGGCACCATCCAAAGGGACACGTTGCTTTAACATCAGAGGCGGGCGGGGGGTACAACACTGACAGCTCCGGCAAATGCTAAAATGAGAGCCAAAACTGTGAGGTTTTTTTTCATCACAAAAAAAGACGATTGTCTTATAAAGAAGAAACCCAAAACCCATTTCAACCAATAAGAAGACAAGATGAACGTCATCGCACTCCCATCACCATTTTTTTTCCCAATTTAAAAACCTCAGCTACACTTTCAGCACCTCCAGTCTACATGTCAAGTGAAAGCCACCTTCAATGCCACCAACATAAGCCTCTTGGGCTCTCTTAGAAGGCAAAATTGATGAATGTTAATTACTATATAGGATTTTATAATTAGAGGTAAAAGTAAATACATGTACCGTTGTCATCTTTGTCTCAAATATGTAAAGTATAAATAATGTTTGCATATTTTAAACCTGCAGGTACCTATGTTGTTTCTTGCTTGCAATAACAAAAATCAGACAGACAACGAAGTACTGGAACGGGTCTGTTGTCAACTGTAGTCTCATACCTTCAGCAACAGAGGGTGCTAACATCCCGTGGAACAGCCATAAAAGCCTAGTTCACATTTAACAGTATTCACACATTACAGCCACATACAAACACGAAAAATCCTGGTCCAATATCACGGTTTTTCACTTTTCGTGGTCGGTCCGGTACCAATTTACCGCAAAAAAATGAGGGATTACTATATTGTCAACTTTAGAGTGGAAAAGATCAAGTGATTCTTTGCATGCATATTTTTTTCAGCCTTTTCACACAGACATCAGAATTGAAATGCATTGAATGTTCACTGCTTTCTTTCTGTTCTTCCTTTGCAAGTGCCCTGATGCTGGCTCTACCTCTCTCATTGGTGGTGAATCAGAGAGCAGACTTATTCTGCAAGATGGCAGCTGTGAATCATCTCCCCACAGCAAAGACGTACGCTTGACATTTTCTGCAAATTATCCCCTGTATCATGTCACTTCTTGATTATCCTGTGAAACACTTAATGTTCTCTCCGATCTATGATAATAGTCCAGGAGAAGTCTTGCATCCTTACCAACATATGTTGAAGGTGAGTCTCACCTAATATAATTTGATTCAGCATGAATGTAAACGAATAAAACAGGCAGTTTTATTCGTTTGTGTATATATGTAGAATGTATATCCATGTCTGCACTGCATTATTATATATTATCAACAAACAAAGATGCCAACAGCTCTGATGTCAAATTATGCATCTTTAACTTGACTTCTAACTAAATATATTGTATTTTAATTTGACCTTGTCAAATTCAAATGTACTTGGATACAAGTTACTATTTGCCTTTTTACATTTCTGGGGATAATGGGCAAGTATGGATGAAAAAGGAGAGTGGAACACATCCTCAGTGATAACATGATTTCACATGCCAAAGGCTAATAAACCTTACATAATGGGATTGTTAGTTGGATTGAGTGGATACCATAATGTTTACTAGTCAAATTGGTCGTCTATTAAAATGCTTATTTCGGTCAAGTTAGGGAAAAAATACAAGTGGTACCAAAATAAATAAATAAATAAATAAATATCACAGATATACTGTACAGTATCCATCCATCCATCCATCCATCCATCCATCCATCCATCCATCCATCCATCCATCCATCCATCCATCCATCCATCCATCCATCCATCCATCCATCCATCCATCCATCCATCCATCCATCCATCCATCCATCCATCCATCCATCCATCCATCCATCCATCCATCGCGTTCCCAGGCCAGCTGGGTGACATCGTCTCTCCAGCGTGTCCTGGCTCGTCCCCGGGGTCTCCTGTCAGTGGGACATGCCCGGAACACCTCACCAGGGAGGCGTCCACGAGGCATCCGAATCAGATGCCCGAGCCACCTCATCTGGCTCCTCTCGATGTGGAGGAGAAGCGGCTCTACTCTGAGCCCCTCCCGGATGACCGAGCTTCTCACCTTATCTCTAAGGGAGAGCCCAGACACCCTGTGGAGAAAACTCATTTCGGCCGCTTGTATCCGAGATCTCGTTCTTTCGGTCATGACCCAAAGCTCGTGACCATAGATGAGGGTTGGGACGTAGATCGACCGGTAAATTGAGAGCTTCGCTCTTTGGCTCAGCTCCTTCTTTACCACAACAGACCGATACAAGGTCCGCATCACGGCAGACACTGCACCGATCCGCCTGTCAATCTCTCGCTCCCTCCTGCCCTCATTCGTGAACAAGACCCCAAGATACTTAAACTCCTCCACTTGGGGCAAGATCTCCTCCCCGAACCGAAGAGGGCACTCCACCCTTTTCCGACTGAGGGCCATTGTTTCAGATTTGGAGGTGCTGATCTTCGTCCCAACCTCTTCACACTCGGCTGCGAAACGCTCCAGTGAGAGTTGGAGAGCCCTGCTTGAAGGAGCCAACAGTACCACATCATCTGCAAAAAGCAGAGATGCAATACTGAGGCCACCAAAACGGACCCCCTCAACGCTTCGGCTGCACCAAGAAATTCTTTCCATAAAGGTGATGAACAGAATCGGCGACACAGGGCAGCCTTGCCGGAGTCCAACCCTCACTGGAAACGATTCCGACTTATTGCCGGAAATGCGAACCAAATGCTGACATCGGCAGTATAGGGACCGAACAGCCCGTATCAAGGTGTTCGGTACCCCATACTCCCGAAGCACCCCCCACAGAACTCCTTGAGGGACACGGTCAAACGCCTTCTCCAAGTCCACAAAACACATGTGGACTGGTTGGGCGAGTTCCCACATACCCTCGAGGACCCTGCTTAGGGTGTAGAGCTGGTCCACAGTTCCACGGACGGGACGAAAACCACACTGCTCCTCCTCAGTCTGAGGCTTGACTTCCTGACGGACGCTCCTCTCCAGCAACCCTGAATAGACCTTCCCAGGGAGGCTGAGGAGTGTGATCCCTCTGTAGTTGGAACACACCCTCCGGTCCCCCTTTTTAAAAAGAGGGACTACCAATCCAGAGGCACGCTCCCCGATGACCACGCGATGCTGCAGGGGTGTGTCAACCAGGACAGCCCCATAGCATCCAGAGCCTTGAGGAACTCCGGGCGGATCTCATCCACCCCTGGGGCCTTGCCACCGAGGAGCTTTTTAACCACATCGGTGACTTCAACCACAGAGATAGGAGAGCCCACCTCAGGGTCCTCAGACTCTGCTTCCTCCAAGGAAGGCGTGTTGGTGGATTTGAGGAGGTCTTCGAAGTACTCTTCCCACCGGTTCACAACGTCTCGAGTCGAAGTCACCAGCGTCCCATCCCCACTGTACACTGTGTTAGTGGTGCACTGCTTCCCCATCCTGAGACGTCGGATGGTGGACCAGAATTTTCTCGAAGCCGTCCGTAAGTCAGCTTCCATGACCTCACCGAACTCTTCCCACGTCCGGGTTTTTGCCTCGGCGACCACCGAAGCTGCGTTTCGCTTAGCCAGTCGATACCCGTCAGCTGCCTCTGGGGTCCCACAGGCCATAAAGGCCCGATAAGACTCCTTCAGCTTGACGGCATCCCTTACTGCTGGTGTCCACCAGCGAGTACGGGGGTTGCCGCCACGACAGGCACCAACCACCTTACGGCCACAACTCAGATTGGCCGCTTCAACAATAGAGGCACGGAACATGGTCCATTCGGACTCAATGTCCCCCGCATCCTCCGGGACATGGGAAAAGCTCTGCCGGAGGTGGGAGTTGAAACTCTTTCTGACAGGGGATTCCGCCAGACGCTCCCAACAAACCCTCACAATATGTTTGGGTCTGCCAGGACGGACCGGCGTCTTCCCCCACCATCAGAGCCTACTCACCACCAGGTGGTGATCAGTTGACAGCTCCGCCCCTCTCTTCACCCAATTCTCCAAAACATGCGGCCGCAAATCCAATGATACAACCACAAAGTCAATCATCGAACTGCGACCAAAGGTGTCCTGGTGCCAAGTGCACATATGGACATACTTATGTTTGAACAAGGTGTTCGTTATGGACAATCTATGACGAGCACAGAAATCCAAAAACAAAACACCACTCAAATTCTGATCAGGGGGGCCGTTCCTCCCAATCACGCCCTTCCAGGTCTCACTGTCATTGCCCACGTGAGCATTGAAGTACCCCAGCAGAACAAGGGAGTCCTCAGCAGGAGTACTCTCCAGCACACCCTCCAAGGACTCCAAAAAGGGTGGGTACGCTGAGTTGCTGTTTGGTGCATATGCACAAACTACGGTTAGGACCCGTCCCCCCACCCAAAGGCGGAGGTAGGCAACCCTCTCGGCTACCGGTGTTAACCCCAATGTACAAGCACTGAGCCAGGGGGCAATGAGTATGCCCACACCTGCTCTGCGCCTCTCACCGTGAGCAACTCCAGAGTGGAAGAGAGTCCAACCCCTCTCGAGAGAACTGGTACCTGAACCCAGGCTGTGTGTGGAGGCAAATCCGACGATATCTAGTCGGAACTTCTCTACCTCGCACACCAACTCGGGCTCCTTCCCTGCAAGAGAGGTGACATTCCACGTCCCTAGAGGTAGCTTCTGCAGCTGAGGATTGGACCGCCAGGGTCCCCGCCTTTGGATGCTACCCAGCTCACATTGCACCCGACCCCTTTGGCCCCTCCCATGGGTGGTGAGCCCATGAGAAGGGAGACCCACGTTGCCTCTTCGGGCTGAGCCCGGCCGGGCTCCATGGGTGTAGGCCCGCCCACCAGGCGCTCGCCAACGAGCCCCATCTCCAGTCCTGGCTCCAGAGGGGGCCCCGGTGACCCGCGTCCGGGCAAGGGAAACTGAGTACCATTTATTTTATTCATCATAAGGGGTCTGTGAGCCGTGCTTTGTCTGGTCCCTCACCTAGGACCTGTTTGCCATGGGTGAGCCTGCCAGGGGCATAAAGCCCCAGAACACTTAGCTCCTAGGATCATTGGGACACACAAACCCCTCCACCATGGTAAGGTGACGGCTCACGGAGGGGACTGTACAGTATAAATACATAAAATAGGTTCTTCCTTGACTTGTGCACTAACAAAGTACTAAGAATCTGTTACATAGAAAAAGCCACATTTCCTTGCCCTTCGCTGTCAATTGAATCTATGTGGCCAGTTCATCACTTTAACTGTAACATTTGAAAAGACACAATTTACTCTTTATAAGTAGGATCTGAACTAGGGCTGGACTATTAATCATTTTTTGTTTTTGTTTTTGGCTTCTCTCGATCTTTAAAGCATGAGAATTGAAGAAAAAAATATTGTGCGCGGAACCGCGCAGTGCGTTTACATGTTCACAATTTTGTGAAAGTACCCTAAAGGCACCATGTTGCTTCTGTAGCAAGCATGTAGGGCAGGGGTGTCAATCTCATTTTTGTTGCGGGCTAGATTTTAGTTACTGTTTCCCTTGGAGGGCTGTTATGACAGAATCCATAAAAAGAAGTTAAGAATAACGGTTATTCTGAGAGCATGGTTAAGGCAGAAGAGTAAAAAGATTACCTCTACGTCAAGCTATAGCTGTGGATTGGATACACATCATACCTCCTCCAAGAGCAAATGTCAGAGCCCAAGGAAATGTCGAACCTCGAGTCAAGTCAGTGTGTGGGTCTTCAACTGCTCGCCAGTCATCATCTTTTTTTTTTTTTCCAAGATGGCACCCGGATAGGCAGCCATCGGCAAGTGCTCTTCAAGACCCTTGCGTTTTTTGTTGTTTTTGTCTTGTTTTGTCACATGGTGTTGTTGTTACGTCGCGTGGACTTGATGTGGACTGTTTTCAGCATTTTTGGCCATGGCATTCTTCAAAGAAGAAGAATCTGTGTTTGGTGGTTGCGCCTTCTCGGCAGCACACACGTACCAGCAATGATTTCTTGATTGGGAGGAATGTCGGCGCCATTTGACTGTCGATGCTGGAGGTCCCCGGGGCGCTTGTGTCTTGCGCCTGAAGTTGGCAGCATTTTCACAGCCCCGCTTTGTTCAGAGAAAATGTCGGTGCTGATGGACAGTCTGCGGCTAGATGGATGCATGGATTGAGGAGCCGACGATAAGAACAAAGGAGCATCCGCGCAGATTGCCGATGCGTATGTGGAA